AATATAAAGTTTGACACTCACTTTGTCTAAATCTCAAAAGATGTTAAAAATATATTCCTGAACTATCTAGGAACTTAATTTCAGTAGGAAGAGAAAAAGATGATTTCATCAGTAAAATTGGTAATGGAACATTAAAACTAATTAAGGGTGCGCTAATCTCTGTTAAAGGAACTAAAAAACGACATTTATATCACTACTAGAGAAGTGATGGGAAGTTTAAACTCCTCTATCTTTTTTACCAAGGTTGTTTACGCACATATGTCATAATAGGCTTGCACATATAGGCATTAAGGGATTTAAGCTTCTTAATAAAAAAGGAGCATTTGATAATGACCGTGTATTTGATTTGTCATCTTGTGATCTCTGTGTACTTGGTAAGCATCATAGAACTTCTTTCTGTACAAGTGTTCATAAAGCTAAAGGCATGCTTGAATATGTGTATTCAAATCTGTGGGGTCCTGCTAATAATCCTACCTCGGGTAAAAATAGGTATTTCTTTTCTATTATTGATGATTACACGAGAATTTTGTGGGCTTATCTTTTAAAGGATATCTGACACTTTCCATAACTTTAATAATTGGAAAAGACAAGTAGAGAACAAAAATGGCAAAAGGATTAAGTTCTTGAGATCGGGTAATGACCTAGAGTTTTGAAACACTGAATTTGACAATATGTGCAAAGAAAATGGAATAAAAAGGCATAAGACTATCCTTTACGCTCTTCAACAAAACGGGGTAGCGAAAATGATGAATAGAACCATACTTGATAAACTGCAGTCCCAAAGTCGCTTTGAGGTGAAGTTGTTATGATTGCTTATTATTTGATTAATTTGACTCCATCTGTTGCATTGATTGGTGATACTCCTCATGAAAAGTGGTCTGGTAAACTAAGTGATTATGTAGAATTTTTAGATATGCTACTTTTTCCCACCTGAGTAAAGGGAAGCTTGAATCGAGAGCTAAAACATTTATTTTTCTAGGCTACCCTGTGAGTGTTAGGGATAGAAGCCAAAATGGGTTTAAGATCATTATGAGTAGATATATCATGTTTAACAAGGATGAAATGCCCTATCTTAAGAATGGAACATGAACCTGTGAGTGAAACAGAATAAGGTGAAGAGAGAGATCAGTTTAAAGTGGAGTTAGGAACGCTCAACACATCTGTCCCTGCTACTCCAAATGAGGTGGAGACTTGAGTTCAGAAACTTGAGGTGGAGAATAGAGATGAGGTAGTGATAGATGAGCATCCCGAGGAAGAAAATCCTTTAGCAAACTACAATTTTGTTAGGGATAGAGGGAGAAGATAAATGAGAGAGCCTAGGAGATTCGAATATGAATCTGAGCTAGCCTTTGCTCACGCTAGTGTTATGAGAAGCTATTTGACAGAGAGCCAAAAACCTTTGAGGAAGCGATGAAGTGTGAACAATCTGAAGAGTGGTTTAGGGCAATGAAAGAGGAGATGAGTTCCTTAGAGAAGAATCAAACTTGAGAGCTAGTATCTAGACCTAAGAGTAAATCTACGATTGATTGTAAGTGGGTCATTAGGGTTAAAGAGGGTACTAGTGCTTCTGAACCTTTAAGGTTTAAAATTAGGTTAGTGGCAAAGAGTTACCTACAGAAGGAGGGTATTGATTATAATGAATTTTTTTGCTAGCTGTTAAGTGCACTACTATTAGAGTCACGTTTGCATTGGTTGTACTTTTTAACTGGGAACTTGAATAATTTGATTTAAAAACTACTTTTTTACATGGTGAACTTGACGAGTAAATCTTTATGAATCAATCTAAAGGTTTTAAAGACAAACTAAAACCTGATCATGTATGTTTCCGTAAAAGGGCTTTATATGGCTTAAAACGGTCGCCTAGACAGTAGTACAAAAGATTTGATTCTTTTGTACTCACTATAGGGTTTCAAAGAAGTAAGTTTGATTATTGCTTATATTTTCAACGTAATGATGCCGATAATAACTATGTGTTTTTATCGCTCTATGTGGATGATATGCTCTTGATTGGTTTATCACCTATATGGATAAATAACATAAAAATAAAGTTGAGTGACGAATTTGACATAAAGACCTAGGTAAAGCAAAAAGAATTTTAGGCATGAAAATTGAAAGAAATAGGTCAAATTTAGTAATATTTTTGCATCAGTTTCCTTATTTTTCAAATGTGTTGAAAAAAATTTGATACGAACGATTGAATACCTGTTACATTACCTTTGGCTAATTATTTTGTATTATCTAAAGATTAGGCTCTATGTAATGAATATAAAGTAGAATACATGAGTAGGATTCCATATTTTAATGTGATTGGTTCCATTATGTATTTGATGGTTTGCACTAAATGGAATTTAGCTTTTACTGCTAGTACTTTCAGTAAGTATATGTCTAATCCGAGTCATGAACATTGGGAAGCCTTAAAGTGGCTGCTGGTTTAGTGATGTAGATTTAAAGTTTAGTACTAGGAAAGAAGGAGTGAAATTAAAAGGTTTTGTAGATGAGGACTATGTGGGGTATAGAGATGATAGGAAATCAACTTCCTCTTATGTGTTTACTTCATCTAACTCTTATATTAGTTGAAAATCACAGTTACAACATATCGTTGCACTATCTATAGTAGAGTCAAAATATGTTGCTACCACCGAAACCATTAAAGAGGCTTTGTGGCTTAGAGGCTTGCTTCATGAACTGTGTGTCTTGAATGATTATGTGGTTGTATATTCCGATAGTTAGTCTTTTATACATTGCAAAAATTTTGTTTTTTACGAACGCACTAAACACATTGATATTAGACTACCCTTCATTAGAGATATTGTATCACAAAATGATGTGATCCAAGAGCCGAGCCAAACAAAGGCGAGTGTAGGAAGAGACCCATTGATAATCGAAGGTAGACCGATGACGCGATCGAGGGTAGAGCAAGTGAAACAAGCGATGAGATTGTTCATTCAAGAAACCATTGATGAGACGATGTTCGAGACTCAAAATGGGACGAGTTTTGTGTTCGGATCGAAAGTCGAAGTGAAATAGATCAACGTGTTACAAGCGGCCGAAGAAGAGGCTAAACCGCAAAACTATGTGACCGCATCCCTTTAATGGCTTGCGATCGCACAACCACAGACAAGAATTTCGCTGGAGATTTCTGGGTCAACCATGCAACCGCATGGAAAACAACCATGCGGCTGCATGGTTATAAAATTTGATGCGTTTTTAATTTTTTTGCGAATTTCCTTATTTTGTTAGAATTTGATATCAATTAGACTTCTTTCCATATTTTGATGATTTTGCACGATTTTAGCTAGGTTTTTTAGCTTTGGTATAAATACTCTATCCATTACATTGTATAAAGACCTTTGACAATTATTATTGAATTCAATAGAGGCTTTTGCTTTCTTCTAATTTGTTCTTCTTTGAATAATAATTTAGAACTTATCAAGGATAATTCCTTGTGACGTTTAACACCGGATCGTGGGTTCTTCAATTTGTAAGCAAGGGGTCAATTGCATCACCGTTATCTTTGGGTTCTTTGTTTCATCTTGTTGGGTTCATTCCAAACTGGTTATTAATTGACGTTCTTGGGTTTTGCATCAATCTAGTTGTGGGTTTCATAGTCTAAGTTGCTACGGGGTTCACATCACAAAAGATGGTAAGACTCAAAAAAATCCATATGCAATATTCAGACATGAGCACAAAGTTGTTGCTGCCATTTACAAAGTTTAGAAGTTGAAATGATCTTCTAAACATTGGTACATCTAAATAATTTCCAATTTTGTCGGTTTTCCTTTAGAGAAGTCATTAATGAGAGATATATTTTCTTTGCAGGTTCTTGGACACCAAGGTGGAGGTTGTTGGGAAAATTGTTGTCAAACGATCTCCCGGGTTACGATGTTAACTCGATCTAATTTTTTAGTCGGCATTGACCTAATGACTGAATGATAGATCAACGCCTAAATTGAAATGGCCTGACCCAAAAAGTTAATTGGATCATTTGAAGCAACCTAATTAAATTGTGTTGCTCATGGCTCGATTCGTTACTTACTTGGATGACTAGTATTTTGAGATCCACTTGACAACCCATTTGATATCAATTGGGCCTACCACTCATTATTGTAAACTAATATACTTACCTTATTTTTACCCAATTGATATGCTTATATTCTTGTGGTTTTCTTTGGCCTATATATGCCGTGCGTGTTATTGGACGATTTCTCGGCTCTTTCTCTGCCATCTTTGCTTCAACCTTCACAAAACCTTTGTGGTCTCCTTTGTGATTTAGCCCTCCTTTAGTGGTAGTTCTCTAAGTAAGGTAAACTTCTAGCAATCGTGGGTGAAGGCTTTGAGGTGTTTTGGATCGTTTGGCTTGATATGTTGATTTGAGTTCGTGAAATTGAGCGTGTAAAGTCTTGGTGGTCATCATATTATTACTCTACGGGCTCCATGGAGTAAAGATCCAGTGTTGTGTGTTGCAACGAACGAACTGACCAACGGTGACTAGAGCCGAGCCATGGCTGCAGGTGCAAGCTTGCAACTCTACATCTCATGCATTCTGCAACATTTACGCATGAGAACCTACAGGCCAAGGCCCATACCATAAGTCCCACACAGATTTGGCCCAAACGTTAGCTTCTCAATGGCGATGTCGTCACAATTCTCTCTTTATTTCTTATAACAAATTCACGGGAAATTAAGCCCACGTATGGCCCCTATTTTCTGAAAATGAAAATGGGTGTAATAATATTTTTTTAAAAAATGAGTGGTTGAAAAAGAAAGAAAAATTTTCGATTTGCGTGTAATATTATTTTATAAAAGATTGTGTGGTTGAAAATAGAAGAAAGAAAAAAGAAATGTAATGTAATGAAATTTAATGGGAGCCAAACGGGTAGGGTACATGAAATTTTTTTTTTTTTCCTTTTCTTTTTTTGGTACTATGGTAAATATTCGAGTGTACCCCACGTCCGGTTGGATGCATGGAAGAATATGTACAAGTATGTTCATCCCAAACGCAAACGCAAACGCGAACCCAAACCCAAACCCACTCTCGTTCATCAATGGAGTTTTGGGGTAGAACTCTTTTCTCTCTCTCCAATTTCTTTGTTATGCCTTTTCTGGATTTCAACTGTTTACAGCCATATATACTCCCCATCTTTTGGCGGTAAAACTATCTACTCCGTGATTTTTATTTTCAGGTGTCGAGGTGAAAAATGGGGAGATTCTGCCCGTTATGTCTTGTGCGGGCATGATTTTGCGTCTGTCTCAAGTATTTAATTTGTTCAGATTTATGCCTTTTGTTTGCACTTTATTTTCCTTGATCGCATCATCTACTCTTGCTTCTTGTAAAGCAACTGAAATTGCACTGTTTTCTTGCCGTTTGCTTCTTCAATATCATTCTGGAAGATTATTATTGTTTTAGTTGAATGTATAAATGGGCTACATTAAGCTTTATTTTAGTAGTATTTGTACTCGGCGCAACTTATTATAAGCTAATTAGATCTCTAGATACTTTGGTAGTAACTTATTTCGGTTCAATTTTACAGCGTCGACGAGCTTGTGGTTCCTTAATCCTATTGTTACAATTCATTTACTCTTTTATGTTGAATCAGAATATGCTTTCTTCCGCAGGCTTCTCTTGGTAAGTTGAAAGAGGAGAAAGGAAATGAATCTATTTGCTTGTTTGCAACTGTTGATGGAAAGAAGCTAGTCCTTGCAACACTGTATACTACAAAACTGCCTCAGCAACATCTAGGCATGGTTTTCGATAGAGATTTCGAGCTATCGCATGACTGGGAAAATGGAAGTGTTTACTTCTATGGATATAGGATTAATAACCCTCTAAGAGAAGAATATCCTTTTTGCTTTTATGTTTCGTTTTTTCAGTAAGAAAATGAATTACTGGATACATTTGATTTTGTTTTTCTTCTTTTCTTTAAAGATATCTTTGTTGAGCATTTTTTGCAGTTTAAATTTTATTTATTCAAGTGCTTAGTTTGTTTGTTTTGGTTTTGCATTAATGTATGAAAATGTGAATATGAAAATAATGAATATGAAGACCTTTGTTGATACTTGTTTATATTTTCTTCTTCAATCATATGGAATTGAGAAAATGAAGGAATATCTGAATTTGGTTTCCCTGACCCTCGTCATTATTCTATCACAACCAAATCTGGTGACCATCTATCTCCACATCACTGTCCTTCAATAGAGTTTTCTCTGTCTTCTCTTTCTTGCCTCTTTCCTCGCTTCCATATTTTTCTTTTGGCGTTCTTTGTTAGGAAAAGTACTTACATGCTTACATCTAATGTTAGATGAATCTGAATCTGAAGAGGCTATCCCATATACTGTTGCAAGTGATGAGGTGAAACCCAAGGATAATAATTCTCTCTCAACTTCTATTCCTCTGTCTTCTCGCAACACGGATGTTGAAAGGTATGCAAGATTTCATCATTCTAAACTTTCTCTTTCACTAAGGAGTTGTATAGATTCATATATAGATGTTGATATTCTATATCTCATGTTTGAAAATGTTGTCCCAGGATAATACTGTCCGAGGAACATTATGCACTGTTTGAAGTGAACATCTCTGAGCTTATTAATAACCCGTCATCATACTTGGTATTCTATATCTCATGTTTGAAAATGTTGTCCCAGGATAATACTGTCCGAGGAACATTATGCACTGTTTGAAGTGAACATCTCAGAGCTTATTAATAACCCGTCATCATACTTCAATTTTCGCCAGGTGAAGCAAAATATGTATGAAAATATATGTATATTGTGTCTGATGAATAATATACACTGTTTGAAGTGAACATTTCAGAGCTTGTCAATAACCCCCCATCATACTTCAATTTCCGCCAGGTGAAGCAAAATATGCGTTAAAATATATGTATATTGTATCTGATGAATAATATATATTTTCTTTTGCATTTATTTGTACATGTTTAATTTGGTGAACAGCGCTTGTTTGAGGTGAGCGGAGGAAAAATCACGGAAGAAGGTCTACAATTGATGGCGGCTAGTCAAAGGCACCAATTATGTGTGATTCTTGGTACATTATTGTTTTGCACAATTTATTTCTTTATTTTCACACACAGTAAATGAATTCTCATGGTGTGTAAGATCATCTACATAAATTAAATCTCTGAGAAGAGTTATATCTTTGAATGATATTGGTAAAAAATAATTCTTAGTAAACCGTAAGCTTCTCTTTAATATTATAATTTATTAAGCAAATATGCCATATTATGTGTTGCAAAATATGCATTAGTAAATGAGCCGCAACATTTGCTATATACACACACACATGAGCACCGATATATCAGAACATTTATTAGATGTTTATATGTTTGAACTTGTGCTCTTGCTTTTTTGGTTTACAGGTACCACAAATACTTGGAACGAGGATACCCCAACTATTTACTCTGCCATCCAGGTTTTCTTTTATAGTTTCAATATTTCCTTTCCTGCCTAATGACCATACTACTTGTCAAAATGGGCCAATTTATGTTGATGCAATGTGTAATTATTTGCAGAATAGTTGTGTAGTATATAGAATTTCTTTTTTTTTTTTCTCTCTCTCTCTCATGATAATGTTGAAAGATTTTTACACATTGACACATGGGATGCATTCGCCAATTTTTGTTACCAACCAACATGGAGTTACAGAAGTTGCCACTAAATGAAAGTTGAGCTTACCTGATCAGAAGGTATTGAAGCTGAGTGACTCAACTGAAATTTTTTTGAATGTTTGGTGACCAAAAGTGTAATTTCGTAACTTTAACTTATTCAATAGACCTTATAACCAATTCCCTTCTTTAATTGCCTATGTTGCAGCCATATTTGTAGCCTTTATGCCGGAAGGAGCACTGAAGACTAAAGTTCTCTGTCAAACCATGTTAATTCGTGTGTCACAGCATTTCTTTATTGTTTTCATTTCTTTCAAGGATGGGTCTGGCATTAACGTATGAATTTCTTTGAAGTAGAAAATTGGAAGTTTGAATGTGAAAATGTTGATTATAAGGCACTAGAGTGAACATTCACTTACCTAGTATAAAGCGAAATGTACTTCAGATGTACAAGCATACTTTTGTAGGTGTTGAATTGAGAGTTTCATTGTATTGACAAAATATGTCAATTCAATTGTTATATCAATTAGGACTGTTTACATGTGTGTGTGTGTGTGTGTGTGTGTGTGTGTGTGTGTGTATATATATATATACATATATATATACACACACACACACATACAACTGCAAAGGCTAAACTAGGAAAGAATCAAACTAAACTGGGAAAGAGTAAAATAAGGAAATCTCCTAATCTTAGGAGACAAATCAAAACTAATTCTCTAAAATCAGGAAGTATAATAGCTGTAGAATCTCCTATATTACAACACATGTATATTTTTCCACACTCCTCAAGCTGATGAATGGATGTTATCTGTTCCAAGCTTGTCAACTAAATTATGAAGAACTGTACTGGGCACCCCTTCTGTGAGTATATCTGTAATCTGATTCTTTGTGGAGACAAATGGAGTGCAAATCATGCCACTATCAAGTTTCTCCTTTATAAAATGTCTATCAACTTCTATATGCTACGTGTGATCATGTTGTACTGGGTTATGTGCAATATTGATAGCTGACTTATTGTCAAAATACAATCTCATTGGACCTTCCCACTTAATTTCACACCTTCCAAAATTATCTTCAACCATAGGAGCTCACAAATTCCAAGTGCCATTAACTTGAATTCTGCTTCTGACTAGATCTTACAACCATGTTCTTTTTTTTACTTCTCCATGTAACAAGATTTCCTTCCAAGAATGTACAATAACCAGAGGTTGATCTTCTATCATCAATCGATCCTGCATAATCAGCATTAGCATAGGCTTCAAGACTCAATCCTTCTCCTCGTCTAAACAAAATTCCCTTACCAGGTACACCCTTCAAGTACTATAGAATTCTATTCACTACCTTAAGATGAGTCTCTTTTGGATTATGCATAAACTGGCTTACCATACTAACTACGTATGCTATATTTGGTCTAGTGTGACATAAATAAATTAATTTCTTGACGAGCCTTTGATAATTACCTCTATCAACTACAGCATCTTTTGGGATATCACTCAACTTATGGTTGAATTCTATGTGTGTGTCAACTGGCTTACACCCCAGATTACCACTATCCTTCAAAAGATCAATCACATACTTCTGTTGACATATAAAAACCCCTTGTCGAGAATGGGCCACTTCTATGCCAAGAAAATATTTGAGTTCACCAAGCTCTTTGATCCCAAATTCTTTCGCTAAACATCTCTTTAGTTTTACAATTTCTTTCATATCGTCTCTAGTCACTATTATGTCATCCACATAAACCAATAATGCAGTAATTACCCTCGAAGCTGAATGTCTCACAAACAATATTTGATCACCTTGACTCTATTTGAACCTAAGACTCGACTCAACTTTGATAAAACCTTCCAAACCAAGCTCTTGGAGATTGTTTGAGTCCATACAACACCTTTTTCAGTCTACATACTACTTGTTCTTCATTTGTAGGGCCAATTCCTAGAGGAACTTCCATATAGATTTCTTCTTCAAGATCGTCATATAAGAAGGCATTTTTTATATCAAATTGTTGCAATCTCCTTCCAAAGTTGGCCGCCAATGACATTAATACCCTTATCGTGTTCATCTTCGCAACTGGAGCAAATGTTTCGAGATAATCTATGTCGTAGGTCTGAGTACAGGCTTTGGCAACCAATCTCGCCTTGTATCTCTCTAATGAGCCATCAGACTTATATTTCATATTAAGGACCCATCTACACCCAACTGGTTTTTTTTCTTTTCGACAATTTCACCAAATCTGATGTCTTGTTTCTTTCTAGAGCCTCCATCTCCACTTTCATAGCATTCCTCCAATTCTCATCTCCTAATGCCTCAGATAGTGTTTTGGGAATGACAATACTGTTAAGGTTAGTGAGAGAGACTCTATGATTATGGGATAACTTTTTGTAGGACATGAAAAGGTTTAAAGGATGTTGGGCACGAGTCCTAGTTCCTTTCCTAAGAGCGATAGGGATGTCATAGTCATTTTCTTTTTGGGTATCTGGAACATTAAAATTCGAAGAAGTGGTTGGAGTACTTACCTCAACAATCACTGGGTTTGGATCAAATGATTGTACTTGTACAGGATCAGTGAGTGACCCTTTCTTTCTTGAATAAACCTTAAGATGAGTATGGTTTGTTTTTTGTGCTACAAGTGTGGAAGGCAAATCATTTTCTGCTGAAACAGAAGGGACTGTAGGGACGGACTCAGATTGGACAGGAATAGGTGAGGACTTGGATTCAACAGGAACAGATTGGAATGGCTTGGACACAAACAACTCCAGAAGGAAAGAATCTTTATCCTTATCTTCCATGAATGATATCTCTTCCAGAAGATAAGGATCGCGAAAGTATTGATCATCCTCAACGAAAGTGACATCGACAGATGCATGAAATTTTCGTGTGGGAGGATGATATCACTTATACCCTTTTTGAGTAGACGAGTAGCCAACAAAGACACATTTGAGACCCCTTGGATTGAGCTTGTCCCTATGTTGAGAATGGACATGAACAAATGCAACATAGCCAAATATTTTGGGAACTAGATTGTTAGTGACATTGAAATTGGGATAGAACTTTGCACAAAGACTTGTGCAGGACTTTGAAAATCAAGTAGGAGGTCTATTTACGAGGTGAGCTGCAGTTAACACTGCTTCTCCTAAATAATTTTTTAGAACTTGTTTTTTGGAAAAGAAGGACTCAAGTAACTGCTAAAAGATGACCATTTTTTCGTTTGGCCATTCCATTTTGTTGGGGAGTGCTAATACAAGATGACTCATGAATAATGCCATGTTGTTGAAAGAATGGAGGGTTTGATTAAAATAATCTTTGGCATTGTCAGATCTTAGACGTTTAATTCCCACGCCAAATTGTATCTTGACCATATTGAAAATTTTTGAAACACAAGACTCACATCTGATTTTTTTTAACAGAAAAATCCACGTCATATGAGTGCAATCCTCAGTAAACGAAACAACCAACGAGCCTAAAAAATGTTGGGTACAATAGAAGGCTCCCAAATGTTGCTATGAATAAGAGAGAATGGAATAGATGTTCTTTTATTGCTTATTGGAAAAACAGAATGTTTGTGCTTTGCGAGTTCGCACACACCACATTGAAAGCTTTCGACAGCAATTTTATTGAACAATGAAGGAAACAACATTTTTAGAACATTAAATGATGGATGACCAAGACAACGGTGATGAAGCTAGATCTTGTCTTTATTGGATTTAGATGACTCAGTAAGGATTTTATGTTGTTCACTTGGTTTTTCTAGATGGTAGAGACCATCTTTCTCCTTAGCATGTCCAATCATCTTCCTCGTACCTATTCCTGAAATACACAATGAGAGGGATAAAAAATCACACTGCAATTAGTATCTTTGGTTAGTTTTTGGATAGATACAAGTTTGGTAAACAATTTTGGGACATGAAGGACATTTTTCAGTATAAGTGAATCATTAATAAAAATATCTTCATGACTAGCAACAGTAGTGACTGAACCATCAGCCATGGTGATCTTATTCTAGGGTAGGGGGTGTGAGATAAATTTTGTGGAGGAAAAAGTCATATGGTATGTGGCTCCTGAGTCAATGACCCATGTGTTAGGGCTAACATTATCCAAAGCATTAAGAGCTTGAGAAGAAGATGATATACCTTAAAATGCTAGATTACAAGTACCTGCCGAAGATGATTGCTTCTCCACTGACCCAAGAAAGTTCTTCAATTTCTCAATCTCATTCCTATTGAATTCAAATGGTATCTCTGAAATGTTGCTATCTTCTGTGGACTGCACTCCGGCAATATGAGCTTGACCATGTCCTGTTCCTTGTCCAATTCTCCTTGGTCCATTCCTTTTTGGGACTTGTGGCCTGCCGTGAGGTTTCCAACGTCGCTCTCTGGTGTGGCGAAAATTTTTGCAGTAGGTGCACCATAAATTGTCTCTGTTAAAAGGATTTGACTTTGACTGACTTGGCTGATTTTTTCTTCAGTGGAAGGCTGATCTAGCACAGTACTCTTTTCACTTCTTTTTGAGACCAGCGCTGAGTTTTCAACAGAAATATTCTCAATTGTAACTCCTCTCCTTCAGCACGGATTATTGAAATTGTCTCATTAAGAGATGGCAGATCTTCCTTGCCAAGGACTTGAACCCGTACTGCATCAAACTCAATATTAAGCCCAGCCAAAAAATCATAAATCCTGTCCTTTTCAACAAACCTCTTAAGCGTGGCTGCATCTTCACTACATTTCATCTGGATGCATTGATAATGATCCATCTCTTGCCAAAGACATTGCAAGAGATTAGAATACTCAGTAATTGTCCAATTTCCATGTTTATTGGCAGCAATCTTAGTCTTGATCTCATAGACTTGTGCATCGTCGCGAACCTTCAAATACTTTTGGTTGATAGCCTCCCAAATTTCCTTGGCGGTATTAAGGAACATGCAGGTGTCATTGATTTCTGGGGACATAGAGTTCCAAAGCCAGGACATCACCATTGAGTCTTCTTCGTCCCACGCATCATATGTAGGATCTCTCTTCTTAGGACCAGTACCGAGCAAATGACTCAATTTGCCTCTGCCTTTCAAGTGTGTCCACACCAGTTGAGACCACTTCAAATAATTTCTCCCATTTAGTTTGTACACTAGCTGAATATTGGGTAGTTCCCCAATAGTAGAGTAGTCTTTCTCGATGGCCTGGGTCTCGGTTGCTTGAAGTTCAAATGTGTGGCTGACTTCGGGGATTTTAGACATGGCTCAAAAAGGAACAGAGGAACAGCAGAGAACCCTTTTTTGAGTGGAAAGAAGAGTCACTGGTAATGATCAAAGAGAGAGAAACAAGAGAAGAAAGGAACTCACAAAATTCTGGAATGAGAACCAGAAAAAAAAAAAAAATCAACAGAATTCCTAGAGAGAGTCTAAATCTCTCATACCATGACAAAATATGTCTATTCAATTGTTATATCAATTAGGACTGTTTACATTTGTATATATTTACAACTGCAGAGGCTAAACTAGGAAAGAATCAAACTAAACTGGGAAAAAGTAAAATCAGGAAATCTCATAATCTTAGGAGACAAATCAAAACTAATTCCCTAAAATCAGGAAGTATAATAGCTGTATAATCTCCTATATTACAGCACATGTATATTTTTCCACATATATCAACCTTCAATCCTTCAATTTTCTGCTTTAAATATTAAGGTGTAGTTTGGTTTAGTTGTGTTGCCTCTTTTATACTTTGTTCCTAATTTTTTTTCTTTGCTATCTTTATGTGATTATCTTCAGGAATCCTTTCAAATTTGTATTGGACACATATTCTTACTTTTAGATGTCTGTTCTCATTTACATTTTTGGAAATAATAAAGTTTGAGCTATTGAATGGTTTTTATCCCAGCAGAATGTTCTCCGTGGCTACACTTTCATTTGCATCTTAATCAAGTTGAAGATTTGGAATTAATGACCAAAACTTTGAATTCTAGAAAATTGCTTTTATTCTGAAAGCAGGTAGCAAGTCAAATTTCATGCACACGATCCTTTAATGAAAATATTTTGTTGTTGTAGTTATTGTAGCGTGAGAAGTAATTAATTTATGGATATACTTCAATGATGAAATAGCATTAACTATTTAGGTAGGACGATTATCTCACTTTTAGTGAGTATAATCTTACTGGTAGGGCTAGTTGTAATCCAAAATTCTCATCCTCAATGCGGAGTACTTGTGCAAGACCTGAAATTAGGGCTTTTCACGACTGCAGCAGTTAAGTAGAGACATAAAACAAGGAATGGTAGAATAGGATGTTTTACAATTCGAGATGTAGTGTATGATATGCCAAAATCTTAGTGAGAAGAATTTTCCGCATTAGCTATGGTTTAACATTCTTATAAATGCTGTGAATGGAATGTTTCCATTGCACCAAGTGTTTTGGAAGTCCGAAGAAAATTAATTTGGTTCTAACTGAACGATGTTGCAATTGCAGGTGTACATTGAAGGAAGGATCGCTGGCGTGCCTTATGTAAATGATGGACTGCCCGATTATTATTTGGAATCTACTTATGATGCTAATTGGCGAGTAAATCCTTTCCTTGTTGGTGCTAATATTCTGAATATATACACATTGTTGGGGGTAAATACTATCTAATTTACAGAACTTTCATATGTACTTTTCTTTATCTATTCTGGCACATTTTAAGTGCTCTTGACTTGAATTTCAGGAAGCATATGATTGTATTGCAGTAAAACTTTTGTCAAGGTATGCTTTGTATTTATTGGAAAAAATTTCTTTTCTTTTTATTGTGTTTGTTTTCTGTTTCTGTGTTTCCCATACGTTGAGGGCTTCTGCATGAGACTTAGAATCAGTTTCTGTAGAATGTGCAGAATTTATTTCAAAGTGATGTTGTATGAGTTTATGAGTTTGAATATTACCTGATTACCTTCTTTTGTGTATATCACATAAAAAACATGCTAACTATTCATTTTTAAAGCTGAGACATCGATTGAGTTGTTTTCTTTGGCCCTAGGCTTTTATGAGAAGGTGTAAAAAGAGTATTAGCTCTTCATAATGAGATAGGTAGAAGACATTTTACGTGTTGAAATAAGATATGTACAGTGCTAAAATTGCAAACGATTTTCCTCGTATTTTTTAGCCATCCACTTTTCATTGCAATTTTTTGTTAATGGCCATTTTATCCTAGAGATGGTTGGCAAAACTGATGCATGAACTACCTACAATCGTTGTTAAAAAGAAAATCTCAACCTAATCTTAATGGCTTGAATTTACCATGCAATTTTGTTTACCGGTTATCATCATAAATGTGATCTTTCACCATTGTGTAATGCTGGCTTGTGTGCATCAGAAGGTTGCAGTTGTGGTGGGTTTAGTTTAATTGGTTCCTTGAAATTTTGTATCCTGTAGAGAATCTAAGTGAGGTCATGGAGGGATAGGAGTTCACATTGAAATGAAGGAGCTTCATGTGCTGCTAACTAATGTTCCAAAAGTTCACTACTAATTATCTTTTCACTAAATCTTACGTTTGACTATAAGTAGGTTAAAAAATATTGAATTCACCAAATTGATTAAAGCAGTGCATAATTATAAATCTATCGACATTTTAGAAGCACCAGAGTGTCTAATCAAGTGGCTATTATGTTTATTATGGACATCTTATCTCTTCTACTGGTGTAGTGTATGCTGGATAAATCTTGACAAAAAAACAAGCAGACGAAATGGTTGCTTTGTAGACATAAAATTGGATTCAAAGTTTTGTTCTAATTCAATGGGATAAAGCCAGGACTTATTTACTAAAATGGATTGAAACACTGATTTAGCTGCCAGTCAGGAGAGGATTTTCATCGTTATGGCATCTAACAGGTTTATCCATGCACTGATATCCATTTTCTGTGGCTGTTCATCTTCCATGGTTAATGTTGCTTCTAACTATTGAGAATTTTATTGTTCTCATGGCCATTTTTTCTTGTTCTTACGAAACTTACACAACATTTTTCAGTTCAGTGGTGCAAAAGTTACTCTTTGTTTAGAACTTGGAGTCCTTTTCTAAAGTTTTTAATATATGCACCGGGGGGAGGAGGGGAAGGGGCAGTGGGGCATGTTCCCAAAACGTCTTAGATACATGTATGACTAGAGGTGGCAAAAGGGCTGAGTAGCTCGTCGAAACTCGGTCCATGGACGGGTCGGGTTCATTTTGGGACGAGCCCGAGCCGAGCAAGGAGCTCATTCGGCGAGTGGCTCTTGGGCTAGTAAAAAATGTGAACAAAAAGTAAAAATTAAAAAAGAAGAAGAAGAAGAAAAACTCGAGCTCGTGGGCTCGACTGGTCTTGGCTTGTGAGCTCATGCGTTGTGGGCCGAGCTCGGCCCTTGATCATGAGCAAAACTCAAGCTCGTTCATGCTTGAATGAGCTTCAGCTTGACTCACCAAGATGACGAACCGAGCTCGTGGGTATATGCTAGCTCCATCCATTGCCATCTCGATGTATGGCAAGCTTTGTACATGTGTCTGACACACTTCATGTACCTGTCCCAACCACTTCATGCACGTCCAATAGGCTTTGTGCATGTGTAAAACGCCATGTTGTTGTGCCATGAGGTGTCCTATATTGTTTATAGTTTCTTAATATATGCAATGTAAGTAATATTTCCCAAACAAGTACCATTTTGTAAATTTTGAAAATATAATAGCGAAATTTATTGCCTTAACTACATGAAATTTATTGCCTCAACTTACATGCTTGTTCACAAATGTAATCTACTTTTTGTCTATTAGTAGCAGGGGCGGAGCCCAAGCATGTCCAGTGCACGCAGATGCCCGCACTGGACTTTTGGGCTTTTTTTAATTTTTTTTTTTTTTTTTGGTCGCTACTAGTGTAACTCCTTGCAGTACTCAAATTATTTGTTTTTTAATAGTAAAATCCAACCCTTTCTTTAGCTAAGCCAATCCTTCTCACCAAGGCTTGATCCTTAAAAAAACATTAAGAGGCAAAAAAATATACGGAATATTTTAGATCTTTAGACAGTTAACCGACTAAAAACAGATTGAGAAATAGATTTGGAACATGAATTAACTCATTTCAAAGCAACGAACTTATAGAAATTGTTTCTTTTGGAAACAGATAATAGTGATCCTAATGCCGATTGCAATGAACAAAACACAATAAAGGGGAGGGAAGTAGGAAGAGAGAAGTGAGGGAAATATTGTAGATTTATTTCAATATTCAAGTGTCTCTATTACAATCTAAGAACCTCAATTTATAGGTTTCAGCTAGCAATAAAAAGGAAACTTACAATGAAAGGGGAAAACTAGAATTTCCATTTTTAAAAGGAGACAAATTCATTATTCTACCAAAACAATAAAATGCAATAATGAAAATTTGATCTTTAATTGATTTGATTCCGTTTACGCCTAGAATATACTTTCCAATTTACATCATTTCTCCCTGGTTGAAAAGAACTCGACTCCGGCGAGGTATAATCTAGATAGACATCTAAAAGTTTAGCATCCAGTTGACGAAACTCAGCTTCATCAATCTAAGAAGCATCACTAGGCGGATGCTCCTTTCAACGCACAACAAACCTACTAAAACCGTCATTCTGCGAAGTAACAAATTGATCATCAAGTACCTCATCAATGACGTCCTGCAGAGAAAACGTGGTAACAGGAGCTCGAGTGGGCAACCGAGAAGACTGTCTCGCAGAAATGTTAGATGATAGTATCGGAGGCTCGAATGTGCCTTGATAAGGATATAAATCTGCTATATTGAGAACATGACTAATATTTAAGTGTGTTGGTAGTTTAAGTAGATATGCATTAGTTTCAAGTCGTTTAATGATAGGAAAAGGTCCTAGTGATCTAGCACAAAGTTTCTTCGTGGTATGGTCAAGGAATCGTCCAGGTGCAAGTCGTACCGTGACATAATCACCCACGTTAAATTCTTTATGCTTACGGTGGAAATCAGCTGATAGTTTACGCTGATCATTGCTTAAAGAAATTTTACGTTTAATCTCATCGTGCAAGTCACGAATATGATCAACAAAAGTTTGAGCAGAGGTAGCAGGACGAAAATCAGGAGGCAAAGAAAGTAGATCAGGAGGCTAGTGTGGAGAGAAACCCTGAATAACCTCGAAGGGACTGACCAATAGATCTATTAGCAGAATTATTGTAAGCAAACTCAGCAGTGGGCAACACGAGATCCCAATTTCCTGGTTTATCCCCAACCAAGCAATGAAGGAGGTTACCTAAACTACAGTTTACAACTTCAGTTTGACCATCGATTTGGGGGTGAAATGCAGAAGAGAACTTAAGCGCCATCCCAAAGAGTTTCCACAATGTCTTCCAAAAATAACTAACAAACTTGACATCACGATTCAACACAATACTGACCTAAAGTCCATGGAGACGGACAATTTCTTTGAAGAACAACTTGGCAATATGGGACGCATTAGAGGACTTAGAACATGGAAATGGTGTGCCATCTTAGAAAACGTATCGACCACCACAAAAATGGAGACATGACCTCGAGCTGTTTTAGCTAAATCGAGAACGAAGTCCATACTAAGGTCATGAGGAACAGGAAGAGGAGTATGAGGAACAGGAAGAGGAGTATACATCCCAATATTTTGATGTTGTGCCTTATCCAATTGACATGTACGATACTGAGACACAATGCAAGCAACGTCTCTCTTAAGGGATGGCCAATAAAACCGGTCCTTAGTTAAGGCGATTGTTTCATTCCGACCAAAATGACCAATAAGACCCTGCATGCAGTTCTCAGATCAGGAAGTCATGAAGTGAAGTACGGGAGATACATAACTTGGTACCTTTGAAAAGATAACCATCTTTAAGCAAGAAAGAAACATGGTCGCCAAGAAGGTTGTCTAAGAAGTCTTGAAAGCTGGTACCAAAGTAAGGACAACTAGGATAATCATCCTTCAAGCGCTCAAATCCTACCATAGTTGTGCTTATCGAATGAAGCGCCGTAGTGATACGACTAAGAGTATTAGCTGCTTTATTTCTTCACCTGCTCGATGATGGAGAACAAAAGTGCATTCGTGAAGAAATTTAACCGACTTAACATATCGCTCACTCAAATGGCATTGGGAGTTGAAGCGAAGAGCCTGATGGTCAAAGTATAGAACAAATTCCTGAGGCAATAAGTAAAATCGCCAATGATGGAGAGATTGGACAATGGCATAAAACTCCTCGTCATAGGTAAAATACTTTTGTCTAGATTGATTTAACTTTTCGCTAAAATAGGTGATGGGGTGACATTCTTAAGACACACCTATACGGAAGCATCACATGCAACCTCAAAAACCTTAGAAAGATCCGGGTGGCATAAAATGGGAGCTTCAATCAACTTTTTCTTGACAGTTAAGAAGGCTCTTTTGGGCTGAAGGGGTCCAATGAAAATTCCCTTTTTTCACACTCAGTGATGGGAGCAGTGAGGTAGCTAAAACCTTTAATGAATCTCCTATAGAAAGATTCTAGCCCATGAAAGCTACGGATCTCAGTTAATGTGGAAGGGGCAGGCCAATCCTGAATAACAGAGATTTTAGCTGGGTCGGGAAAAATACCTTGGGCGGAAATGATGAATCCTAAGAACAGGACTTGGGACTAGAGGAATGAACACTTTTTTAGGTTAGAATATAATTGCATGGAACGAAGAGTAAGGAAGACCTGACGAAGGTGATTTGAGTGAGCTTTTTGCGATCGGCTATAAATCAAAATGTCATCAAAA